TGTATTTACCTCAGGCCTCTGGTATCCTCCTGCATTTTTTTGCCCTGTGCAATTAGCATGTGTTTGTGATTGGTGTCCTTCCTTGTGGAGCATATCCCAGGCTGTTGAGTGCCCAGGAGGGAGGCAGTAACAACAGAAACGTGTGAATGCTTCAGATCTGCCACAAGCCAAGTGTCACACCACTTCCTAAGTGTATCAGCTCTTTGCTATGCTCCAGGCTTCACTTGATGAAGCCCTTAAGCTAATCCAATAGTAGAGGTGCTGTGTTTTTGTTTCCCTGGTGTGATCTCTACTCCCCACACTGCAGTGTATGAATCGCAGCCTGGTTTCCATGAGCACTGTTCCTCTAACCCCACAGGTTCACAGTCTTCATCAGGGCTGTTTTCAAACTCTTCCTGCCTTGGCAGTCTTTTACTTCCTTGAATTTGTAGATGAAACTGGCGTGTCAGTGTTCGAGAGCTGCAGGAATGTGGGTGAGCAGGAAAGGGAGGCAAAGAACAGGTAAGCTTTTAGAGGTACTTGATCTTAAGTGTGGAGTTAGACCCGAGTGAGAAAGGTGTTGAAAGCTGTGTCCAAATACTGATTAGGCTAATTGAGCTCTTGAGGGGTGGGACATGGAGTTCCTTGAGCCTCTCAGAGTCCTTTGGGGGTGGTTTGCATGTGTACAGGAGAGGGGTGGATGGGAAGGGGGAGCTGCTGCCATAGGGGTAAAGATCTGTGCTGGTTTGTGTGGCCCTTGGTTTGAGAGCCTTCAACCTGGTGCTCAGAGCTGCTGTCACAGCTTCACCTTGTCCAAGGAACTGGGATCCTGGGGTTGGAGGTGGGAGCTGTCTGGAAGCACCCCCTTCTCCCTGGCCCTGTAGGATGCTCAGCCAGGCTGGGAGGAGAGGCAGGAGGTGAGGGATGAGAAACCACCCGGAGGGAGGAGCACAGCTTCCCTGGGTGCTTCCCGGGCACCAGCCCAACCTCCTGCCCATGGTCTGGGGAGGGGATGAGCAGCAGCAGGGGCTCAGGGGGGTTTGCCTCAGCCCTGTGCTGCCTCCACTGTAGTCACCCCAAGAAAGACAAACGGGGAGAGGTGTCCTTCCTGTAGCAAAGCTGGTACCGCTGCTGGGCTGAGGAGCAGGTTGTGCTGCAGCACAGACACTGAGGAGTGATTTCACATCAGCATGACTTGCAGTCTGCCTTGACCCTGCACGGTGGCTGCTGCTGCTGGCTGGCTCTGTGCTCCCCTGTGCTTTGCCCCTTGCTCCAGGCTGGCAGCCGGCCTGGTCCACAGCTGCCCCAGCACTGCTGGGAGATGATCCATCTGGAAGCCAGGCAGGGAAGGGGGAAAACAGGGCTCCCTGCTTCGGGAAGCTTTGTCATGCCTGACCCTTCCATGCTGCTGTAAGAGTGGTGGTGCCCTGAGCTGGGATGGAGTCATACCTGCTCCGTGCGGAGAGACAAGGGGAAAGGCGCAGCAACCGGGGTGAGGAGAAACAGATCCTGAGCTTGGGTGGGTGATCTGTAGATGGAGTTGATGCACAGAGGCCATGGGGCTTCAGCTGCAGCCGGGCAGATGTGTATCTGCCATGACGTGCTGCTGAGGGTGAGGCTGTGCACTGCTGGGGCTGCTGAGCTCTGTTCTGAGGGTTTGAAGCTGGTGTAGGTCCCTGCCCACATCCAGAGTGTCCTGTTTCTGCTCCGGCTGCCAGGCTATTCCCAGCACCTTCCCTGGTGGCAGTGCGTCAAGGGAGCCCCAGCAGCATCCCAGCCCTGTGGGATTCCCCCACTGCTCCTACTTAACCACCAGCTTCTTCCAGTCTATGTGTGCCTGAGCTGAGGTGGTGGTGGGATTGGTAGGATGGATCCTGTCCCGGAGCTGAGTCCCTTTAAGCCATATTGCTTATGCCAGTCCGATGTGATCCCTGAGCTGTCACGTCAGCAGGTTTTGCCTTCCCACTGCTCTGGTGTTCCACAGGACTGGCTGGGCTGGTTCTGGCCCCACTGCCCCAGGGAGCTGACCCCTCCTCCTGCTGCTCTGGGCGTGCTGCTGGAGCCAGCCTGGTCCTTCCTCTGCAGGGTTGCACCCAGCACCCTCACAGGAGGCTGGAGCTGCTCTGTGCCAATGAAGAGCGCTCCAAAGGGGGATGCGAACATGCAGCAGGCTTCCAGGAAGAGCCCGTGGCCTCACACGGCTTTCCCATGCCAGCTCCACTTCACGTGGCTGCTGGGTGAGTCATGCAGAGCAGCCAGGCTCCGCGCCGCCAGGCAGGAGACGGGTCAGGGACTGCAGCAAGGCTCCATACCTCTCCTGGCTCCCTTCCCCTGCTCAGCCCCGGCTCTCTGGAAGATGAGTGAGAAGAAGAGGGACCTATCCATGGGAGGGATGGGGTCTTGCTTAAAGGCTCAGCTGAGCTGGTGGGACCAAGAGGCTTGAGTGCACCTCTGGAGGGTCCCTAGAACAGAAATGTGTCCTCTCCATCCCTGAGGACTGCCAGCCCTCCTCTGGGAATGGGGGCACATCCTTTCCCATCACTCTGTTCCCATCATCCTGACCCTGCTCTGCCCCACAGAAGAGCCAGCCCAGGCCTGCTGCGGCAGCAGTAATCAGACCGATTTTAATGCACATAACACCCAACATCACCACGGGAGGGACTCGTCCCTGCCCTCGCAACCCTCTCAGGCCATCAGCTGCAGAATGCAGTCACCCCTGGCCCTCCAGCTGCCCACGTGGAAACCGGCTTGGGCTGCTTCTCCCTCAGCCGTGCCCCTGGTTTCGGTGGCATCCCTGCGGCGAGGTGAGGCTTTCGGGCTGCTCCGGCAGGGAAGTGCTTTTAGGCGGCAGAGCAGGTGAAGGCAGAGCCCGGGGCTGCGGAGCAAGCCCTAAGGCACATCAGAGCAGGCTGGAAGAGCCCAAAACCTCCAGAAGCCAGAGCCTGGGCCCCCCTTGGCGCGCACGTCTCAGTCTATCAGAAACTTCTCACCATCCACATCTCTCCCCACAGAGCCCTTCCGCAGGGAGGGGAAGAAATCGGAGCGGAGGAGGCGGGAGAAGTACATGAGGATCATGGCATCGAGCAGCAGGAGGTTGGCGGTGAGGAAGGCACCCTGGCCCTGCACCTCCACGTAGCGGAGGAAGTACCAGGTGAGGTAAGCCTGGGGCGCCAGGCGGAAGGCGAAGTACATCACCAGGTTGACGTACTTGTTGGCCTCGTAGAGTGCCGGGGAAGGCACGTTGCTCATCTTCAGCAGCATGCGCATGGTGAGGAAGATGTTGCTCACCTCCACCAGCAGCAGCAGCATGGCTGCCACCAAGAAGCGGCCTGTGATGATGAGCGAGACGAAGGCAGAGATGGCCTAGGGAACACACAGGGTACACAAGGTAAGCTCTCCTCGCCCTGGGGAAGGTGACTCTTTCCCTCCCTTGGTCTAGGTGTACCCTCAGTGGGACCACACAGTGCTGCTCCCCACACACAGAGAGCCCCGCAGGCACCTGGAGAACCAGTCTGGAGAGCCAGTTCCCCCAGGACCAGTTCCACCTCCCTGTGCTGGGGAGCTCTTCCCTCGCCGCCGCGGCAGCCTGTCTGGCTCCCGGCGCTCCGAGCCGACGCTGGCAGGAGTCCTGCCCCGCCAGGCACCCTTGCCTTGATGTGCAGCCTACCTGGCAGCCAGGGCGAGGCGGAGGGAAGGGCTCCAGCTTGCCCTGCCATAGCACCCGAAACCTGCATGGGCTGAGCTCTGGGGTGTGTGGTACTGACTGTGCTGGCCCCTCACCTCCCCGGGGTCATACTCACCATGGCGTGGTGCACCAGGTATTCCCAAGACGAGCGGGATTGATGGTTGAAGATGATGTCAAGGGTGTCGTGGATGAAGTAGCCTGTGGGACGAAGGAGAGCACTGAGGGGAGCTGGGTTGTGTACAGTCACCCGCTGCGGTAAGGGGAAGCAGCAATGAGGAGGAGGGTGCTGTGAGTATGCTCCATGTGTTGCACCTCCACCCTGTCTGAGCGTGGGGTGATGGCCAGGCCCCAGGGGCTGGAAGTCTGCAGGCTCCACGCTCATGATTAAAGCAGGAGGTATGGAGGAAAGTTGCCCGGCCCTTAAACCAGGGCTCCCCACAGCCCAGAGTGCTGGGAGAGGCTGGAGAGGGATTGGGCAGAGCCCAGGGAGTGACTGCAGCCATCGCTCTCCCCGGCTCTAAGCTTACCTGAGGAGAAGCAGACCAGCAGGTGCCCTGAGACGCTGTAGCCGTCCTGGATGTCGGAGAGCAGCTCCGGGGCGTGCCAGAGGCTGGGGGGTGAGGACAGGAAAGGAAGGAGGGGGTCAGAGGCAGGGCGCTGGGGGCCAGGGGAACCCGGGGGCAGAGGGGTCCAGATCCCCGCTCCCGTTTCGCACGGTGTGCACCCCTCTCCCGTCCCAACCGCCCGGTACCTGAAGAGGGCCCATAGCCCGGCCAGCACGGAGTGTGCGAAAGAGACGAGGAGGTTCAGCCAGCGCCAGGCGCGGCCGGGGCGGCTCCGCACGGCAGCGGGCCGGGGCAGGGCCAGCGCCAGCCGCCGTAGCCCCGCGAAGATCGCCACGCTACCGGCCACCAGCGCCGCGGACGGAGCCCGCCAGCCCGGGCCCATCGCGCCCAGCTCCGGCGGCGCGGCCGCCTGGCCACGCCCCCATTGGCCGCGCCTCTCCCGCTGACCACGCCTCTCCATTGACCACACCACCGCGCTGGCCACGCCTCCCAACTGACCACGCCACCCTATTGGCCACGCCTCATCTGGCCACGCCTCCTTCCCCCGTCTGCGCGGGAGCGGGCGTGCGGGGGGCGCGCACGGGTGTGTGTGTTAAGGCGGGGTGTTGCACGCACGTGTGCAAGGCGCTGCGCTTGTGTCTGCGCCGGTTGGGGGTGTTGTGCGTGTTCCTGCCGGTGTAGTGCGTGACTGTGGTGCTATCTCGGTGCGAAGCGTTGCAGCCGTGCGGGTCAGGCGTGCGTGGCACACGCGTGTGTGTCCGTGCAGGGCTGGCGCAGCGTGTGCGTGACAGGCGTTGAGCATCCATTCCGGGCTTTGCACATCTGTCCTGTTGCTGCACAGGTGCCGCGGGTCCAGCACATCTGTCCCCGGCACCGTGTGCGTGTCCCGGGTACGGTGTGGCTCTGCTCCCGGTAAGCCGGTCGCTAGATGGCAGCACGGCCACGTAGCGTGCGGTTGGTAGTGCCAGCGCGGTCCCTTGTCCCCCCTCCACGCCGGGTGCAGGGCGGGAGCCCGAGCCGTTGGTACCCCCACAAGAGAGGGGCTAGGTCGCCGTGGGGCGGCATCGCTCTCCCGGTAGAAGCGGAGAGTCCCCGTCCCGTCCCCCGCGAGCCCTATACACGCGGCGAGGCACAGGCACGGCCGGCGGTGTTTTGTCCACCCGCGGCTGCCGTAGGAACCCCCGGAAGTGTCTCCATGGAGACGGGAGGAGGCTGGCCCCGGCCGGGGCAGCGATGGAGAAATACGAGCGGATCCGGGTGGTGGGGAGAGGAGCCTTCGGGTGAGGGCGGCTCCGGGCCGGCGGGGAGCCGGGGGTGTCGGAACGGGGGTGTCCCGGCTGTGTGCGGGGAGCGGCGGTGGGAGGCAGGCCGCGTTACCATGGCAACAAAGTGTCGCCGTGGCAACGCGGGGGGTCAGCCGGTATGTGGTACCCTAAGGGAGGGGGGGTGTCCAGTCTCTGTTGCCATGGCGATGGGGTGACACGGCCCTGGGGTGCAGGCCCTGTTGCCATGGCAACGGGAGGGGCAGGGGCCACGTGTCACCCCGGGGTGGTGGCTGCATGTCCCCTGTGCTGAGAGCCTGTCCCCGTCCTGCAGCATCGTGCACCTCTGCCTGCGCAAGGCCGACCAGAAGCTGGTGATCCTGAAGCAGATCCCGGTGGAGCAGATGAGCAAGGACGAGCGGCTGGCGGCGCAGAACGAGTGCCAGGTCCTCAAGCTGCTCAGCCACCCCAACGTCATCGAGTACTACGAGAACTTCCTGGAGGACAAGGCGCTCATGATCGCCATGGAGTACGCCCCAGGTAGGCCCTCGGGTCCCTTGTCACTGCTTCCTTGGCAGCTGACCATGAGCCAAGGGTGCCCAGAGAAGCTGTGGCTGCCCCATCCCTGGCAGTGTTCAAGGCCAGGTTGGACACAGGGGCTTGGAGCAAGCTGCTCTAGTGGAAGGGGTCCCTGCCCATAGCAGGGGGATTGGAACTGGATGAGCTTTAAGGTCCCTTCCAACCTAAACCATTCCATGATTCTATGATTCTGTGCCTTATGCATGTTAATCATATCCAAAACAAAGAGATTTCTAACACCTCTGTCACCAGTGAGCGTGCTGCCATCTGCCCTTGGCCTAGGTTTCACACACATTTCCCTGTGTCAGCTCTCGGCCACGCTGCTGCTCCCCCAGCTCTGTGTGGGAAGGTGTGATTTCTAACGAGATCTGCTGTGGAGTTGCAGCTGAAATCAACGTTTGCATGAGGGTTTGTTAGAAGCTGTGCGTGAGCCCTGAATCTGCACCTTCCCTTCTCAACAGGGGCCTCTCCTTGCCACGTGGCCTCATGGACAGCAAGAATTCCCTTCTGCAGAACAGGCTTATCTTGTTCTGCTCTTGAGGTTTGTGTCCTCCTCCAAGAGCTGTAATTTTAGCGTTTCTTTTCCTGCTGCCTTTGACAATATGTCAACTGTAACTTCTCTTTTGCCATTCCGTTGTCCCACCAACTGTGCTGCCGTTGTTCTCTGCATGGTCTCAGCAGCACTGGAGGACATGCTGCGTGTCCCACCAGGATGTGCTTGGCTTAAGACGCCATGGCTAAATCCCACTGGATTTGAGGCTGGGTTTGTGCAGCCACCCTTGCTGATAGCCCGTTATTGCTCATCACAGGGGGCACACTAGCAGAGTTCATTCATAAGCGCTGCAACTCCCTGCTGGACGAGGACACCATCCTGCACTTCTTCGTGCAGATCCTCCTGGCTCTCCACCACGTGCACACCAAGCAGATCCTGCACCGTGACCTGAAGACTCAGAACATCCTCTTGGACAAGCACCGCATGATTGTCAAGATCGGAGACTTTGGCATCTCCAAAATCCTGAGCAGCAAGAGCAAAGCCTACACGGTGAGTGGCCTGGCTCTGCAGGGGAGCTGCTTACCACCATAGCAGCCAGCTGGAAGCTGGACTTGGCTCAGGATAATCTCTTGGAAGCTGGCAGCGAGGTTGGATGTAGCACACTTGCAGTAGGCCACATCCACGTGTCATGGTGCTGCTTTGGTCCTTGGAGTTTATATAAACTGATGTCTTCACACCCAAGTTTGCTGCGGCTCTTTGGGCCCGCTGGTAAGGGGAGGCAGGGCTCCTCCTGCTGTCACAGTGGGAGGGGTGGTGTTTGTGGGTTTGTCTGACACATACTTGGCAACAAAATCCCTGCCAGTGCCTCTGTCCTGCCTTGACTTAATCTCCTCTCTCTGCTTGAGTATCATTCCCCACCTGGTCTAAAGTGACTAGACATTTATATCACGCTCATTGCTCCAGGCTCTGATTCTCTCCAGTGAATGGGAGCAAACTGAGAGGTAATCTCTGTTTGAGCAGAGGGGGTCACCAGAAAGGCAAATCCTCACGGTTTTTCCTGAGACTCTCAAGCAGATGTTGACACCAAGGAACAAAAAGCCCAGCTCCACCAAGCTTTGGTTGGTGGTGCTCTAGCCAGCCTGCATGCTGTGCTCTAAACTGAGCCTTTCTCTTTCCACCTCGCTGCCCCAGTTTCCCAGCATCATGGTAAAATTGTCTCTTCTAGGTTGTGGGAACCCCGTGCTACATCTCCCCAGAGCTCTGTGAAGGGAAGCCTTACAACCAGAAGAGTGATATCTGGGCTCTGGGCTGTGTGCTCTATGAACTCGCCAGCCTCAAGAGGGCTTTCGAAGCTGCGGTAAGAGGGAGGTGGTTTACACACAGCACAGGGAGCTGTGGCCTCTCAGAGAGGTGCAAATGCATGCTTGGATCCCTCTTCTCACTGAGCCTGGAGGTGTGAAGGCAGAGAGCAGTGCTCAGAGCTTCCTGCTCCTCAGCCTCGCCTCTGACCACCCAGATACTGTATGTGTCTCTTGTTGTCTCTCCAGAATCTTCCTGCCTTGGTACTGAAGATCATGAGCGGGACGTTTGCCCCAATATCAGACAGATACAGCCCCGACCTGCGCCAGCTCATCCTTAGCATGCTGAACCTGGATCCTTCCAAGCGGCCCCAGCTGAATGAGATCATGGCCCAGGCCATCTGCATTCGGCCCCTTCTGAACCTCTACACTGACGTGGGCAGTGTCAAGATGAGAAGGCAAGTGAAGGTGTCACCTCAGTGTGCCTTGGGCAGGCTGCCGCAGCCCGCACGTGTCTGACCGAGCTCCAGAGAGCATTTCCCCATGCAGCTCTCCTGTGTTAGCCAATGTGCAGCTGTTGCAGGGCAAGCCTGGTCCAGTGGCTCGAGGCCATAGCAGGTGCCATGGCAGGTATGAACTTGTCATTAGAGCAAACAGAGCTGTGAGCTCAGGGGGAAGCACAGTGATGCCAACTCCCTTCTCAGGTGGTTTAAAGCACCTGCCGAGGCCATTCAGCCGTGGCTTATGCTGTAGCTCTGCCTGTGATCCAGGGCTCTGCAGGACCTCTGCACTAAGCTGATGTTAAAGGCTGGATTTTGATTTGGCAGGCCTGAAAAACCCTTGGCTCCGGTGCCAACAGTGACCCACAGCCGGACGGGGGGACGAGTGAGCAGTGCCAGGCCGAGGGGTGAGTCCTGGCACGGTGTGTTCAACACAGCTCCATTCAGAAGGACCCTTTCCTTTGGATGGTGGGAGGGTCAGAGAGGCACTGGAGCTTCTGGAGAGGGGAAGATTAAGCGGTGTCAGCTTCCATGAGCCCTGGAGGAGCCCATGGGCGCCTGAACCAAGTTTCCGCTGTTCCCAACAAAGGCTGGGAATGAGCCAGGGGGATGCTGAGGGGGAAGTCCTGGTGCAGGCCGGTGCAGCTGGCATTGATAACAATTAGGATAGAGCTGTTGTGGTGCCACTTCCCTCAATTCTGGGGTAAATACAAGGACCTGCTCCCAGCCCTGGTGGGGAGCTCTGCAGCAGCCCCTTGCCAGCCTTGGCCAGGCACTGGTCTGGCTCTGCTGGCTGGCAGGCAGCTATGCTGGCACCCAGACTGGCTGGTGTCTTCTGTTCCTGTGGGAAGAGAGTCATGGATCCACGTTAATGATTTCTCTATGACCCATAGGTGTTCGAGGGGGCTCGGCCAGGACAGGAATCCCTCCTCCATTGTCATCCATCTACACGTGGGGGAGCGGGATCACCACCCCTCTCCGACTGCCCATGCTTAACACTGAGGTGGTGCAGGTGTCTGCAGGCAGGACACAGAAGGCTGGGGTCACCAAGTCGGGAAGGCTCATCCTGTGGGAGGTGAGTGATGGGGACTGCTGGCTTCCAGTGGCCGTGGAAGCCTCAGATGTGTGAGTTCTGAGGAGAGCACACTTCTGCTCACTGCGTAAGCCCTGGCGCTGCATCCAGCAGCACCACTGTCCAGGGTCACAGTGTGGGAAGGGACTCCTCTGAGGTCCCCAACCCCACCGCAGATGACACAGCTTCTCTCCACCAGGCTCCCCCGATGGGTGCTGCAGGAGGCCCTTCCCTCCCCGGAGCCACTGAGCAGCTCCAGCCTCAGTTTGTGTCCCGCTTCCTGGAGGGTCAGTCTGGTGTGACCATCAAACACGTGTCCTGTGGGGATCTCTTCACAGCCTGCCTCACAGGTGAGCTGCTGCCTCCTGCCTTCGCCTCCCCAGGTGCCAGACCCCTTTGCATGGCATTGGGCTTGTAAATGTAGTGTCACTGCCTGGGGAGCCTGCACAGAGAGGAGCCCCGGAGATGCTGGGGTGGGATGGCACAAAGTCTGCGTGGCCTCTCATATAACATTAGGTAAGGGGCAGAGATAACAGGCATGGTCCTCCTGTGATGCTCAAGTGGTTAACTTGATCCCAAAGGTGTGTCTGGTATGGGGAGGGCTACAGATCTCCTCCTTTTGCTGTCCTGGCTGCATTGGTGTTATATGGAGCCAGAACTGACCTGTAGAGTGGGGACTGCAGTGTGAGAAGCATCAGGGAAGTTCAGCCTTTGTCACCCTGTGAGTGTGATGCAGACACAAGCAGCGACCATCAGTGACTGGCGTTGCAGTGTGAAGTCAGTGTGAGCTCCTATAGGGCTGGTTGTCCTCAGCTATAGGAAGATAAGGTCTGAAGACCCCTTAGAGTGAACCAGGCAGCTTCTGGCTGGGAGAGGAGCACACACACCAGCTTGAGGCTGTTTGCAGAGCAAAGCCCTCCCAGTAGTCCTTTTAGAGCCCTGTTTGCACTTCTGCTGGTGATCAGGGCAGCAAATGGCAGACATGCAATAGACAAACTGCAGGCATGGGTTTGTTCTACTTCTCCATGGCATTTCCTGCCTCCCCTTCTGCTGGGTGGCTGCTCAGCGAGTGCCTCTGTGTGTTTAACACCTTGACACACCGTGGAGTTACACAGCTGCAATAATGTTATCTCAGCTCTCTCCTGTCATCTGCTCTTTGTTTGGCGAGCTGTTACAGCACATTGAGGCTGCTGCTCTCTGGAAGCTCACTAAAGGCTTCCGGCCCCTGCAGCAAGTTATGGAATCATACAACCATAGAGTAGTTTGGGTTGGAAGGGACCGGAGTGGGTGCTGTGTGTGTGCCTTGCAGGGCCTCATACACACCAGTAACACGACTTCCCTCTGCTTTTGCAGACAGGGGGATAATCATGACCTTCGGCAGCGGCAGCAATGGCTGTTTGGGGCACGGAAGCTTCACAGATGTGAGCCAGGTTTGTCGTGAGGGTGCTGGGCGTGCTGCTTCCCCCGGGGCACAGGATGGCTCCTGCCTTCTGCGCCACGTGAGAGGGCTCATCCCAGCTCCAGGGATGTGCATCCCAGCCGTGCTTTGGCATCCAGCTCCCTCCCCTTTCCCTCCCTGTCACTGCGGGGTTTAAAAGACCCAACCTGCGTCTCTCTTTCCTTCTTTCTCCCCCCTGCCCCTACACAATGATGCCTTTGAGCGTGGGGGAAGTCAAGAGCTGCCTTGTGGTTGCTGTTGGCAGGCTCCCAGCTTGGAGCCTGCCTCCAATCACACACCTGCCTGCTCCACTCTTGGCCTGCAGCTGCCAGGGTTCACTGAGAAAAGTTATTGCTCAAAAGCAGCACTATTTGAAGGAGAGCCGTGCGCTTCCGACGGGCTCCGAACACAAGGGCCCCGGGCACGTCGCTCCCTTCCAGCCCTCTCCTCGGATGTGGCAGCAGCACGATGGCTTCCAGCCGAGCACAGGCACTGCTGCCATTTGGCCCCGTGGTCAGCTGGCTCCGTCCGGAGCTGAGCTTATTGCTGGGGAGAGTTGTGTGTGTGTGGGGGGGAGCAGTTGGGAGCAGCAGCCAGATCCCAACAAATGGTGCTTTTCACTGGCAGGAGATAATGAGGATGAGGTTGGCTGTGGCGAGGTGTCAGATCTAACAGCAGGTCACAGCAGGGGCTGGGTGAGCTGTGGAGATCCTGGTCTCTCCACACCCTCACTGCTAGCTCACGGCTCTTGCACACAAGAGCCTTTCAGCCAACGCATCCTGCACCAAGCCCCTGCCTGCTCAGGGAGTGCGTTACAGCCCCTGGCACTCCCCACATGGGCAGGGGGGCGAATCCCAACCCTTCCCTCTCCAAACCGTTGGTGCTGGCTGCTTTCTTCTGCCCCAGAGATGTTTGCATTATCTTCTGTGCTGCGTGCACGTAGTCTCTGAACCCTTTGAAGGCTGTTTGGAACTAGAAACCCTTCCCCGGTGTTTGTGTTGGATGAAAACTGGGATGCTGCCAGCGCTGTGTTGAGGCTGGGGGGCCGGGTGGGAGGGATGGGGCTGGCTGGGAGGTCTCGGCTGACGGCTGCTGCTCTTCCCCTGCCAGCCCAAGATCGTGGAGGCCCTGCTGGGCTATGAGATGGTGCAGGTGGCCTGTGGCGCATCCCACGTCCTGGCAGTTTCCAACGAACGGGAAGTGTTTGCCTGGGGCAGGGGGGATAATGGTAAGAGACGGCTGCCTGGTAAAACAGGGCTTGTGCTTCCCATTGCCTGTTCCCACTCCTCTCACCGGCCCTGCTTGCCCACGGTCCTCTCCAGATGTGCCAGGGTAGGTGGGTGTGGAGGAGCTGCAGCTGCTTCACCGCATGCCAGTGCCCTTGGGGTTTGGATTTCGCTTCTATGGCTCTTGGAGCAGCTACGTTGATGCTCAGGTTTGTGCGTTGCCATCAGCTGTGTCCTGCTCTGTTCCCTCTGCCAGGTCGGCTCGGGCTGGGTACCCTGGAGTGCCACAACTCCCCCCAGCAGGTCACAGTCCCGCCGGAGCATGAGGTCCACAGAGTCATCTGTGGCATCGACTCCTCCATGGTCCTCACTGTGAAGAACCAGATTCTTGCCTGTGGGAGCAATAGGTAAGAGGGGTGAGGGTCTGTGCTCCAGAGCTTGTTACAGCCTCCTGGGCCTTTCCATCTGTGCTCAGCCCAGGAAGAGGGAGCAAGGGGCTGTAGAAGACATCGCTCACTGTGTGATCCTGCTCCCCAGCATCACGCTGCTGGTGGTGTGGTTATACCAGGGCAGGGTTTGTCTCCATTCTGCCAGCTCTGAACTGTGCTTTTCCCCATGCAGGTGTAACAAGCTGGGCCTGGATCGGATTAGCTCAGCAGAGGAGCCCTCCCCAGAGGACCAAGTGGAAGAGGCCACGGTGTTCATGTGTGCCCAGTCGGTCCCCTTGAACCAAGAGCCGATTGTGTGCGCTGACATTGGTACAGCGCACTCAGCTGCAGTCACAGGTGAGGGCTGGGTGCTCAAACACCTGACTGGGGGGCACCTGCATTTCTCCATCCTCCTGCCATTTCCCATGGGCAGAGACCTCAGAGAAGAGGGAGACACCCTGCTTCTGATGCTGGAGCTCTGTGGATGCTCAGTGTGGTACAGAGCAAAGAGCTTCAGTGCATCCTCAGGTGACACCCAGTTGTTTCTCTTGTCTCTATTGCTAGCTTCTGGCCAGTGTTACACCTTTGGCAGCAACCAGCACGGGCAGCTGGGTACCAGCTCCTGCCGCAACAGCCGTGTACCCCACCTGGTTGTGGGGCTCCAGGCGATGAAGGTCACTGTGGTGGCTTGTGGGGATGCCTTCACTGTGGCCATTGGTGCAGGTGAGAATGAAACCCCAGTGTTTTGGGCTGCAGCAGACTCTAGCTTTCCTCTGCCTGCAGTCCATGCTGTGGTCAAGGAGATAGCCTGGGTAGGTACCAGGGAGGAGGGAGGCTCTGTGTGCAGTGAAGGGATATATCCCTTTGCAGATGGTGAGGTGTGCACATGGGGGAAAGGAGCCAGGGGACGCCTGGGCAGGAAGGATGAGGAAACAGGAACACCAAAGCCGGTGCAGCTGGAGGAGACACATCCCTACCTGGTGACCTCCGTTGCCTGCTGCCACGGGAACACGCTGCTGGCAGTAAAGCGTGAGTAGAGGCTTTGTTACTGTGATTCCTGCCGTGAGAGCCCAGCCAGACACAATGCCTTGTGACTGGAGCTGTCCCAAGTAACCCTGGCATGTGAGCTCTGTGTTATTCTAGGCCCTCTCCAGCTGTAGGTGAACAGAAATAGCTTGAGGCCCATAAAAATTCCCCTTCAGCACTGGGATGCTTCCGCTGGGCCGGGAGAGCAGAGGGACAGCAGAAGAGGTTCTCCCGCACTCCCACATTGGCGGGGAGCTGAGGATCCAAAAGGAGCAGCTCTCTAATTGCTGCTGCTGAAATAGAAGCTGAGATTTGAGGCGTCGTTTTGGCTGCTGCCTTTCCATTGTGGTTTGGAAAAGATAGCACTGGTTTTTGTGGTTCCTCTCTGCTCGGCCCAAAGGCAGCATCGCTGCGTGGTTAAAACGTGCCCATGGCATGACCTGCCCTTCCGTTCCCTGGGTGTCTGATGGGAGCCTGGCCCACGCTCCTGGAGGGGCCTTTCTTCCTCCTTTCCTGGGCTGATTATGGCCTCAGTGCTGGGCTGAGGGATCCCAGTCCCAGCCCACTTCAAGCAGGCTAATTACACCCTGGAGGGGAGGAGGCAGGGCTGTGACTGCCCCAGCGCAGCGCAATGGGCCATGGCTCCTGTTCTTCTCCTGCAAGGGCTGAGCTCTCGTGCTGTGTGCTGCCATGTGAAGGGGACAGGGAACGGCTGAGTCCCTGGGCTCAGAAACTAGGAGGACATTTGTTATGGGAGCAGGAGGGTTCTGTGTCTGCAGCAGGCTGCTCTCCCCTCCCAGAGCTGGTTTGTGGGCTTCCACCTGCAGCACTGTAAGTGTAGGGACTGAGCGTGTAGCCCCATTTCTCTCCCTCTGCACTGCCCAGTCTGAAACCTCAACCTGCTTGCCCTCGTACTGGCAGTGCAAACTCAGCAGCAGCAGCATCAGGGCAGCAGCCTGGCCTTGCTATCCCTATCCCTCAGTAGCCAGGGTGCAAAAAGCATCGGGAGCTCTGTGAAAAGCTGAGATTTGGGCTTTCACACAGCTCAATCTGCCTGGAAGCTTCTCCAGAGAGCACACGATTGCTGGTGCCACGTGCGGTGTCATTGCTGCTGCCAGCTCCGGCTGTGATCTGGCCCGCAGAGGCTGCTGGCACAGGCGAGCAGGGCTCTGCCTCTGGGGCAGCCGTTCTGCACCGCTCTGTGCTTTCCTCCCGTGTGGCAAACGCCGTTTGTGACCCGTTTGGGTTTCCTCCCTCTTCATTGTTGAGGCTGCTGCTGTGCCCTTTGCTCGATCCCACTGTAAACACAGGAGTAACTGGGAAAAGGCAGGTGTGCTGGAAGGGAGGAGGAGGGCACAAGCTGCAAGAGACTCCTGCTTGGGCTCTGTGTGCCGGGCGCTGCCTCCTGCTTGTGCCACTACTGAGGCCTTGCTTCCTGGGATAGCAAGGCAAGGATTGCAGCTGCCCATCCCTTGGGTATCTGGTCTGTGTGGGGCAGGCACTGCTCCCTGTAGCTTCACCAGGATAGTGGCTTGTGGCTTATTCTTGGTCCTTGCCCTTTGTGTTTCAGCTGTTGTGGAAGAGTCGCCTTCCCAGTGAGTTTGAGTCGAGGGGACACATCCAGCTGCCTGGAATGCCTTGTCCTCTCAGCGCTTCCTGATGGCTCAGCCCTGCATCCCCAGGCTCAGGAGTTCCAAACAGGAAACAGGGAGCTCCTAACGATGGTTCCCATGGAACCGGAGCTGGTCTCTCTTATGGAATCAACAAGGGTCACTGTGAACCTTCAGTGCCTGAGAGCTGCTGCCCTGGATGTGCCATGGGGTGGGCATCCCCAGAGCTCCGCTGCTGCTGTCAATGGGGAAGCCTCCCTGCTGGAAGTGCCTGTGTGGAAGGGTGAGGAGCACAAAGGTTGTTTCCCCAGTGGAAACTGTCTCTGGTTACAGAGCCCAGGCTGACAGCTCGGTGTCTGAGAGAGCTGTCAGCCTGTGCACAGCGGTGTCTGGAGTTAGGGCCCCAGGCACTACTCGGGGTGACTAAGTGCAAACCTCTTTTCTAATTAGAGAAGCCTGTCCTTTCCCATCCCCCAAAGAGCATTTCACCCATTTGTTGGGCTGTTTATCATGCTTCTGAGGGTCCTGCTCTGCACAGCAGGACGAACCCGGGGTGAACAGCCCCTTTGTGCAGCACAACCTGGTTTGCTCTCCCCAAAACACAGCCTGGAGCTTTCCAATTAGAGCCTCCCCCAGCGCCAGGAGCTCACCAGAGGATCCTCCAGCTGACATTTGTCCTCAGGCCCCTAAATCCTGCTGCTGACCAGCTCACAGGCTCCCAGCTGAGCTAGCGGAAGGCAGTGGAACACAGCGAGTGATTGTCAGCACTTGAAGGTTTTTAACCCAGATCTCTCCAGGGGGGTGATGAGCTTTCACCAGGGATCCTGTCTGTAGGCAGGAGGGGGCATATCACCGTGTCACAGACAGGAGCTGCAGGTTTTATCTCAAGAAAGGTCTTTTCCTTTCCTTCCCCCTGCCCCCTTTTCTTTTTTTAACTTACATCTGCCCTGGGCCAGTTTTTGATGAGCTCCTGTCTCTGATCTGTCTGACACTGCAAATGCTCCTGCCTTTCACATCCATCTTTGTGCCGTTGCCAATCTGTTGTGTATAAAGTCAGGGCTTTCATGAGGTGGCTGAGATGAAATCTCTCTAATTATTTCTGTGATTCTTTCCTGTGTTCAATGAGGGGAACCTCGCTGGGCTCTGCTAGAAGCCAACTGATCCCTCTCTCATGTGGAAGGTAATGAATCCCAGCAGCTCTCCTGCTCTTTCTTCCCTTCACCTCCCAGGCTCCGGGTTGGGAAGGGAGCAGGTCCTGTCCGGCCGGGAGAGGCGTGTGCCCTGCCTGCAGACACTGCCTCCCTCTTTGGCTCCTGCCAGGGTGGGAGCAGGGGTTTTTCCCTGCTTTGGAGCTGCCTTTCCAGGCGGTTACACCCTGGGAGCCCAGGAAGCTCACTGGAATTCAAAGGCTCTGCCAGTCCCTTGGCACTCGCTTTGTGCTGCAGGTTATAGGGATGGCTCCAGCAGCCTGGTGTCAGCAGAGGTGAGGGTGTTCCCCACTCCTGGGCACCGGGGTGGTTGCGGGGCTGGGTTAAATCACCTCAAAGCCCCTCTGCGCTGCTGCCTGTGCCGAGCTGGTGGCAGCACCGGCTCCTACAGCAACAGACATCTCTTGCCTGCGTTGTGCTCAGCTCCTTGCTGAGCTCCTTGCACCACATGCAAACACATCCCATCAGAAGGGGCTGATGTTCTGCTACAGAGAGCCGGTTGGGATGGCAGGACAGAGCTCTCTGCCCCCCTTTGTGTTGAAGGTGGTGGCACCAATATGCCACTGCTTCATGGGATGTGCAGCACAGAGAGCCACTGGGATCTCCCCGTGCTGCCAAATGGAGGGGTGAGCCTCCGTCAGCCCCCTTTTCCCGCTGATGTGCTGGTGTGAAGTGGGGTTTATGGCTTAATGATGCTTTTGCACCGCAGTGCTGAGCTGTCACCAGCCTTATTATGGTCGGAGGAGCCCGTGTGGACCAGTGCTAGTGCAGGGCCGGCGCTGGAGCCCTGGGGATTCCGCAGCCTGCGTGCTCCGTGCAGCAGCTCAGCTGGGAAGCCCAGCGAGATGATTTGAATAATTTAATACCAGGCTGTGACCAAGCCTGGCGAAAGGGTAAAGGAAACAAAGAGGCCCCCAGCCCCGAGCAACAATAGCTCTTGAAGCGACAAGCCGAGGCATGTCCGCGCTGCCGCAGGCACACAGCAGCCCGGGCAAATAGGCCACTGCATTCCTCACGTCTGCTGCTTTGTTTCCTTGCAGAAGCTCCCGGTGAAAGCTGCAGGTCTTGGGGCTTCTCCCTTTTATCCTTGTGTTGTTCCCGTGTTCTGGGGAGCTGGTGCTGGATCGGCTGTGTCCCTGTGGCTCTTTGGCTAAGGAAGGCAAGGGGTGAAGGGAGCGGGTAGGGGAGGTGATGCAGGGATGCTTTGTGCATCCCGGCTGGTGTAGGTACCCTCTGTCACTGTCATCCAGGAAAAGCTCATCCCTGTTCCTGTGCTCCATAAGATCCCAGTGACCTGGGGCCACCGCTGTCAGCAGGAAACAGCCCCGAACCCCCCTGCTGATCCCAGAGCTGATTTGATTTCAGTCCGGCCCCTCTGCTGTGGTCACATCCCCATTCCGTGAGCCTGTGTCTGTGTCCAGCACCCTCGCTCTCCTTACCCCCGCCTTTCCCGGGCACAAAGCAGGAAGAGGACTCTCCCCGCTCCATTCCCCCAGGGCAAACCGCTCCACCTTAACTTCTTTAGAAGCTGAGGTTTGTTTTCTGTCCGTCCAGTTTAAGTTAAATACAAAGCGGGGGGGTGAATGAAGCAGGGGTGCAGGGCAGGGGGAAGGCTTCCCAAAGCCCAGATGGGTTCAAGGACTGACCCATCACAGGGCGGACAGCGAACATATCGCCTGCACAAAGGGAATTGCCCTGCTCCGAGTGTCGCCTTTGTGTGAGACAAACGCCCCGGCTGTGATGTTGAGAGCGGGGAGGGCTTCCCTTAGGGAGAGGGGGGGAAAAGGGAAGGATCTTTGTTTGCAGGGTCTGACACCTCCCAGCCGTCCTGCCGGCACAGCCAGCACCTCCTGATGGCTTTGTCAGCTCCTGGCTAATTAGCAGAGATGCTCCTCAGCGAGGTTAGGAACGAGAAAGGTTTAAAACATCAAAGAGAAGTGGTAAATAGTGATAAAACTCAGAGCTGGTCCCTGCCTGTCACGGGAGATGAAGGCTTTTTAAGCTCATCTAAGCAGGAGTGATGCAGGACGGGGCTTGGAGCAGCCTGCTCTAGTGGAAGGTGTCCGTGCCCGTGGTGGGGGCTTGGAACTGGATGAGCTTTTCCAACCCAAACCATTCTGTGATGATTCCGAGCGTCCTACGCCTGCTATGGGGTAGCGCAGGGGGTCCCCTCACCCCGTGGGGTACCAAGGGCCCATCCTTTTGGTCTGAGCCCCGTCCCATAGCAGTGTCCAGGGCTGGTTTTCAGACAGGTCCCTGTTGAGGGTTGTTCAAGGCGAGCCCAGCTCCAGGGGTGCTGTGACTTAGTGGCAGAACCAGACGGACCACAGGGCTGTTTGTACATCCTGCCCTGGGGGGGTCACGGCTCCGGGTGAGCCCAAGCCCAGGCTGCCACCCCTAAGACAGCTCCGAGGTGCCCGGTGCACCCCTGTGATCCCTGTACCGGCTCTTGTTCCTACACGTTGGGTTTCCAGGCTCTCTGCGAGCTGGTTAAAGTTTAGCTCAGTGCTCTCCACCATCCGAGGCTGCCAGCTCCATACATCCCTGCAGTGACTGTTCACCCTTCATGTATGTTGACACAAGCTTCCCTGCTATTTGGGTGTCAGGAGTTAAAGCCCTGTTGCAGCTCAGGTCAGGGTAACCCCCAAAAAGAGCCACCCATCCCCTTCTTGGCAGCTGGGGCAGCAGGCGGGCAGCCTGCCTTCCCCCTCGGGCTGTTGTAGGGGGTTATTTTAAGCAGGGAGAAGGGTAACGTGAGCTCCTTGAGTGACAAGTGATAGAGCTTGACTTGCTTAGCGTGTCCCCCAGGAATCCCTCTCCTCTGCCATTTGCTAATTGAAAACTGCTAACATTTGGGGCTGGAGCAACTGCCACCCTTAATGGGAAGCTGGCTGGAGCGTGCGTTGGTGGGACTAACACATGCTCAGAGCCTGTCATCTGCTCGTCTCCATCTCTAGGGAAAGGGGCAAATACTCCCATATGCTGCTCCGGTTTCTGCAAGAGCAAAGTGGGGGCTGGAGCCAGCCAGATTTGCTTTTATTCTCCCTTCTCCGAGCTCTTGTGAGGTTAGGAACCGCAGGCTGGAGGGATGCTGTTGGATCCTACTTACCTGTGTAAGATGAGGCCACGGGAGCGTGGCATGTGTCCCCATCATGCCTGTGGCACATGGGGGGAATCGGGGCAGCCCCTCTGTGTCCTGTTGCTGCCCAGCAGGAGCGTGGTACCCCCAAGGAGGGGACACTGGGACAGTGAGGACAGCGCATTGTGTGCCCCCAGCCCGCAGCCAGAGCCCAGCCTGGGCCAGGGGAGGCTACAGCTGGGAAAGGGGGGTCTGCATGTTGGTCTGGCACTGTATGATGTGATATGATACGATATGACATGACATGACATGACATGACGTGATGCTCCCCAGACTCCTGGGGTGGCTGCACCCAATGCAGGGGGTCCCAAATCCCTTCCGGAGGGTCTGTGCCCAATGCAGGGAGTTCCAACCCCCCCAGGAGGGGCTGTATCCTATGTGATGCTCCCCGGGGTGTCTGTACCCAACGCGGTGCCTCCCAAACACCCCCCCCCCCAATGTGATGCTCCCCGGGGTGCCGGGTGTGTGTGTATGGGGGGGGGGAAGGTGCGGGGAGGCGGAGCCCGTGCGGGAGGCGGCGAAGCCCGGCCCCGGGCTCGGGGCGGTGTCGGTCCGGTTCCACCGCCCCGTCCGGCCCCCGGGCGGAGCCGGGCACTGAGCGCGGAGCGGAGCGGGGCGCGGAGGAGCGGAGCGGGGCGGCGGGATGCCGGGCTACGACTACAAGCTGCTGGAGCGGCCGCGGCGGCGGGTGCTGTGCCCGCTCTGCGGGAAGCCCATGCGGGAGCCCGTCCGCGTCTCTACCTGCGGACACCGCTTCTGCGATACCTGCCTGCAGGAGTTCCTCAGGTGAGCCCCGCCGTGGCCGCACCACGAGCACCCTTTCCCCTATGGGGTGCCCCGGTCACACCCCGGTCCGGGGTGCTGCAACACGGGGGGCACTGGGTGCTTCTCCCCCCCCCCCCCGCACATCACTACCGGGTGCGGGGCCCCGGGGAGGGGTGCGAGGAGCCGCGGGGTGCTCAGGACGGGGAGGTCGGGGCTGCCCTGGGGATGTCCCGGGGTGGGTATGGGGTTACCCCGTGTTGTTGGGTGCTGCGGGTTATGGGGTGCTCCGGGTTGAGGTGAAGGGGTGCGGGGCTCGCCCAGCCCGTGACAGCCGCCCCACGGGGTGCAGCGGCCCGTGGTCCCTCTCGGTGAGGAGGAGGAGGAGGAGGAGGAAGAGGCCGGGGGAAGCCCGCAGCGGCGAGTTTCGAGCGCTCGCAGAGATTTGTGTTTAACCCCTTCCCTCCCCGGCTCCACTGGAGGAAGCGATCGTACATGCGGGGGGGTTCGGCTGCCCCGGTACCGCCGTGCCCACCGTGACCGAGACCCGGTCTGTGCGCACTCATAGGGACCAAGGGGACAGGGCCCCTTCCCAAGGGCTTGCTGTTGATCAACCCCAGCCCAGGTACCGGCCCCGGCGCTGCCGGCTGCTGCCCACGGGGCTCCGTGCGGTGCCGGGGTCGCACCGTGCCCGGTGCCGGTGTCCCCCCGGGCCGGGCTTGCGGCGGTGCCGAGCGTGCCCTCGGGGCCCTGTTTCCGCTGCCGCCCCCGGCTGCACCTCGCCCCAACGAAGCGACCTTTGCCCGGTGCGGGGGCCCCGCGGGCACCGTCACCGCTGCCGGTATCGGTGAAACCGGGCGTTCCCCGCGCCGGTGCCACGCAGCCCCGCTCCCTCCCGCACCGTCCCGCGGCTCCTCAGCGAGGTCACACACGGGGGTCCCGCACTGACACCCCCCACCTTGCACCAGACCGGGT